AATGTGCGTCGATGCACATAGCCCAGAATTCCAATTTATGCCCGAAAATCCACTCTTTTCAGCTTAATTACTTTATATATCATCCCCTTTCTTATTCTTAACTTACATACTCATATTCAAACTCATTTCTATTCATTAATCACCTCTTTAACACCAAAATCCTATTCTCCATATGTAATTCAAGAATTACACTAAATTTTCAACATGTTCCAAATTCAATTCTATTGCTTCTAACTTCTTAATTAGACCCTTGACAAGTCAAATTTAACTTCCAACTCTAATTACGAACTCTATTTCACGATTTCACCCCAGAACCTCAAATCTTTAATCCCTCCTAACTCCATCATACTTTGATTTTAAGATAACTTAAGCTTTCCTAAAGCTTAGTTATCATCTAATAATCAAAGCCCAACCTTAAAATCAACCATTAATCCATAAACAAAGAAACTCACCTTTGAGCTTGGAGATACGGGAGGAGAAAGAAGAAGAAAGAAAACTCTGGATAATTCTCTCATTTCGTACGTGGTTCCTTATCTTATAAAAGGAATATAAAAATCTTACTTGTCAATTGACCATTTTACCCTTTAATTCATTCAATAATTATTAAATAACCTTCATCATATTTCCAATAAATCATTGAACTATTCAATTATCCTACTTTAATCACTAATTTCTGAAACTTTATAATTTGGTCATTAACCCGGTATTGAGGATGTTACAAATATCCCCTCCTTTAAAGAAAACTCGTCCTCGAATTTTCATTGTACTAATAGATTAAACTACTATCCACCCTTCTCATATTCATATTCACATATGACCTCTTTAGTTGATCTCAAATTATCATAACCCGACTTTATACATCCATATCATTTGCAACACATCAGACTTATCCTTCATTATCTGAACCGAGAGAAACATTCTTTCAATTATACTTTAACTTCCTTAATACATATAACTAAATCATTATCTTCTTATCTATAACATTTACTCCTCATCAAAATGGGTAAAATCATATATTTCTAAAACCAAACCATTTTTCCACAACACTATCTATCATTCCTTACTTCCTTATCAATCCTATAACGCACACTTTACACTCAATTCCAATTAATTTCTTTATATCTATTTGATTCTTCATAACCCACCATCTTCTTATCTCATAAATCACATCTTTTCCTTATGCTTCCATAATCCTTTCATATCACTTGTGAGGACTCTTCCTCACCCATGACTCCGGTCTTCACGGCCACGCACTCCAACAGCCTGAGTTCTCCGGCACAAGGATCTCGGCATCAACACCAACAACCCACAAAGATAGCCAAGTAACCAAGTTAGAATAGGAATCAAATGCTTAGCAAATCCTAGTCTATAAAATATCATACGTTTTTACACAGAGATATTACCACGAAAATCTTACTAGAGTACTAGAAAAATACAGAGGAGTAAAGGAAGCACTTATACCTTTTCGAATAGCAAAGAAATACAAAAAAGGTATAACCTTTTTTTCTTTCATTTCGTTGGTGACTTGCATGCGTGGTGGCATCGTTATTCTCGCTAAAAAAAACCAAAGTTTTTCAGCCGATGAACGAAGTGAGGCCCTCATTTTCAAAACCCTTTTTTAGATCTACGCCTTCCTAGAACGAGTTTTTGAAAATAGTTTTAATTTTTAAAAAGAGAATCCAAAGAGCCTTCAAAAAATATTTTTTTAGATATCGCCGCCGATGAACGGTGGTCGGCGTCGTTTATCGATGGTAACGAGGCGGTGAGAGGGCGGTCGGTTTCTGGGTTCGTTGAAACCCATAGCAGTGTTCATCTTATTGATGAACAGATGAGAGGAAAACATAAATGATGAGGGGTGTTTGGCTTGAAGGAGAGAAATGAAATTTTAAAAACGTTTGTTGGTATATATAGCGACCCGGTTACCCGAGTTGGATCTGCGTGTTGACCCGCTCCACGCAAAGGATCCGCGTGTTTTTACGTATTAAAGGGAAAATCACCTATTTGGTCCCCCCTGCTTTTAAAGAATTTAATTCCCCCCTAATTTGACGTTTTCTCTTCGAAATTGGCCCCCTGATTCGTTTTTCTTGCAGATCGATCCCTTCACATTTTTATTATTACAAATATATATATTTTTTTATTTCTTTTTCATCATTATTCATATATATTTTACTTTTATTTTATTTCCTTTTTTTATTATTATCATTATATATATACCTTTCGTTTGTGTTACTTATTATAGTTTATTTTAATTATTTTATTTTTTATTTATATGGTACTTATCTTGTTTACCTTTTTTTTACCTTTATTTTTTACTTTTTATTTATATCTCGATCCCTTTTTATCTTTGATTCATTTGTTTATTTTCTTTATTCTTTGTACATATATATTTTATCTTTATAGTACTTATCTCATGTATCACATTTTCATTTTTTTTCCTTTGTCTCGTCTTAGTTATTTTCTTTGTTTTGTTTTCTCTTATTTATTTCTCCATTTAACACTTTTCACGACCTCTTAAGGGTACACTTTTAAAACCAATCGGAAGTAAATGATCAGGATCGTTATTTTACCATTTAATTTAAACTTTCAATTTTGTTGATTAAAGATAACTGGGAATTGCGTAGTACCGAAAGGGCAGTTCAAGGGTGCTAACCCTTCCTTGACTGTAACCGACTCCCGAATCCGACACATCTTTGGAAAGACACAGACCAGGTAAGAAATAAGGTATCCAATCTACCTATTTGTTTTAAAATAAAAGATCGGTGGCGACTCCTAATCAATTTTCCTAAGTCGAAGCCCAATTCCGGGGCCCAACCGAAAGACGGTTCCGACACACACACAAATATATATGTCTAAAATATTAATATTAATTATAATATTAATTGGTGTCAGAATTTAATTCATATTCTATTTTTTTTTTTGAAAATTATTAATTAATATTAAAATATAAAACTAATTGAAATATCATTAAAATTATCAATCATATTATAATAAAATTATAACATTAGTTAAATCATAAAATTAGTTAATTTTATAGTTAATATATACTCTAATTTTTATTTTTCAAATAATATATACCCTAATGCTAGTTTAGCCTAAAATGTATTTATTCTCAACCTTGTATCAAATACCTTTATTGGTATGCTCGCTGCTGATTGGGATGTTCGTGATGAGAAATGAAAATCCATTTGAAAGATTTATGTCTCTGAATGCATCAGGTTTTTTCCTCTGGCTCTCCTTAACGGACAAGTTTCTCACTAATCTCAGTCGTTGGCATCGTCACCTTACCGACAACACAGGTCTGTGGTTCCGGTGATGAAACGACTTTGCATATTCTTCGCGACTGCGGAACTGCTAAAGATCTTTCCATTCCCCAACACCATCAAATCCTTGATTTCCTCGAGCTTCCCCTTCAAGACTAGATCCTTCAAAACCTCAGATCCACCACCCTCCATACAGGTACTCTAGTTCCTTGGATTATCATGTTCTCTTCTCTTCTTTGGCAGGTATGGAAGCGACGAAACTCGATGATCTTCTTGGATAGCACTCTCTTAAATAATGCCATCATTCAATGCAGAAATACTCGGGCTTCATATTATTGCTCTTCATCTCTTTCCATCTCGAGCCACCAGATGCCCAATTAGCCGAAGGAAATCCAATGACAGTCTACCCCCACAGGATGGATCACTTTAATTACTGATAGTGCTCTCAACCCCAAAAACTCTCTTGGTGCAACAAGAGGCCTCCTTCGCAACTCCAATGGCTATTGGCTCACTGGTTTCTACAACTATATTGGGTTTCTCAACCTCTCCACGCCAAATTCTAGGGGCATGCTTGTTGGCCTCAACATTGTTTGGGATCTTGGCTTTGAACGTGTTCAATACGAAACCGACTGTGCGAAAGCTCACAAGCTCATCTTCTCCATCGACTCCCACGTTAGCCCGATTGCCACGGTACGATCAGTCTCAAGCATGACCTCTATGCCATGGATGGTCTTATTCACCGAGAAGCAAACTTTGCAGCTGATTTATCACGAAGATGTCCCCTAACTCGAACTTTACTCGGACGTCTACGTTAAATACAAAAATATAGTCGTTAAGGAAGAAGAGTATCATTATTACTATTATAAGTAGTATTGGTATCCCTGATTGTATTAGTATCATTTTTGTATATTGAAATATGTTTAAATTCAAAAACATAAGGGAAGTATCAGTACTACCATGTGGAGTATCAATACTACTATTATAAGTAATGTCAATACTATGTGGAGTATTGGTACCATTTTGGTATTCTATTTTGTCAAAATAATAGGTAGTATCGATATTACCTAACATTACGTTTTGGTCACATTTCGTTAAAAAATAAATAGAATTACTGAAGTGATAAATTTTTTTATTTTTTCAATGATAAAGTGACCAGAGGCGAAACTTGGTGATTGAATTTGGGGTAATTTAAAACTTTAAAAAATTCAGAGGTTTAAATTAAAAATTTTAAAAAATTTTAAAAATTTTAAGGTTTAGTTTACATTTTTTTCTAAAATTAGATTATAACTAAATTTTTTAAAAATTTTGAGAGACTTAATGAGAATTTTTAAAAAATATGGTAGGGAGTTTAATTAAGAACATTTAAACTTTTAAAAGTTTAATATGAATTTTTAAAAATTTTGGAGAGACCAAATTAATTATTTTGAAAAATTTAGGGGTCTAAATTATAATTTTTAAAATTTAGGGCAGTCATGACCCCTACTAGTCGCTCTTGTATTTTATCACTTGAAGTGATATTATCTTATGGTGACACATCATCAACGTTAATCTTTTAACGAAAGGTGACCAAAACAGAATCAAAATATAATATTAGACACGATTTTGAAAACTAAAATAATTAAATGACCAAAAAAGAACTTATGCGATAGTTGTATGACTAAATATGTAGTTTACTCTTTTTATTTTTGGGATATTATATGCTAGCAGACGTACGTTTCCAAAACATAAACCTAGAAAACGCAGCGTTGCAAAGTTGATTCCTTTTTGTCCCGCGAAAGCAATTGCGAAATTTCCAAAATTCCTCTTTCAAATCTGTACCTTTTGCTGGTATCTGGATCCAAATCTAGCAGTAACGGTTGTTTCCTTTGAAAATTCCTCAAAATTTTAATTGATTTTCTTCCGCATTCTCCCCTTTATTTTCTGAAAATTTCTTGGCTTGTTTTAGTTTTAAGAAAATCCGATCCTTTATTGTGTTTTGAAGTGGTTCGGCTTTTCAAATTCAATGTTTTCACTTTAAAAATAGTTTTCTTGTGTTTATAACATAAACCCTAACCTCTCAAATTTAGTTTCATGGTTTTCGTTAAACGGGTACTGTGATTTTAAGGATTAAAGTTTGTGGATTTCGTCAATGGGTGCTTTAGCAAGCAATCGTAAACGCGGTGGAGATGAGTATTTCAATTCCAATTTCAACCACAAAAAGAAACCCCCATATTCAGATTCCCTGGGTTACCAGTTTTTCAAAAAACCCAGATTGTCTGTGATAAATCGAAGCCTGGAAAGAGAAAATTTTCCTTCCAACAGCACTGTCTTGAGAATCTCTCGTTACCCAGAACCTAAGATACCTTTCGCTAGAGCAGTCCACGCCCCTTTCAGACATCTAAAATTTGGGTTATCCGCTTCAAAACACAAACAGGATTTGCCTAAAAGCGAGTTGGGGTATTTCTTGAGTAGTAGATTCAGTAATGTGAAAAGTCAAGCTTGGTGGGATACTTCGAGCCATTTCAAGAAGGAAAAAGAAGTGATTTTTGTGGAAGATGATGAGAAGAAAGAAACAGGGGCGGTTCCAGATGATCTTATTGTTGAAGAAGTGGAGATTATTGAGAAAGGGAAGAATAATGTGGAAGAAGTGAGGCATTTTCAGCCATCGTCTTCATCTGCTGTTCCTGAGTTGAATAATGGGAATTTAAGAGTGGCTAGTTCGTTGGATATGTCTTCATTAAGGGAGATTTCCAATGTGCAAGATTTAGAAGCTTATAAGAAGTTGCTGGAGATTGCAGAGAGGAGAAACTCCAAGTTAAAAGCATTGGATATTCAAATTGAGTTGAATGAGAAGCGTAAAGCTGGACTTCAGGCATTGCGACCCATAAAGAAACCAGAGGAGGAGCTAGTGGAGGTAAGATTCTTTTGCTTGCTTTGTTTAAATTGCGCTGCATTGTCTTGGTAGTGTATTTCAAACAATTGTGTTGCTTCTAGAATAGGATAAATTGCATTTTTTTTAAGAATGTTTGGCATTAATGGTTTGTTGTTATTGTTCGATCATTTATCGAATTCCAGGTGTTACCTCCCGAGCCTTTTATTCCTCTTTCTGAGGAGGAGACGACTTCGGTGTCGAATGCCCTTTCTGCTAAAAACTGGTATGTGGTGATGCTTGTGTTAGTATTTGATTATTTGATTGGTTGTTTCTTGTACCTTAACATCATTGTTTATGCTTGCTTTTGTAGGAGAAAGATATTAGTCTCTCACCAAAACTCAAGCATTGATATTAGAGGAGAAGTTTTGCAATGTCTGAAACCGGGCGCATGGTTGAATGATGAGGTTGTTTTTGTTTTGTTCATGTTTATATCTTGTGTTGTATATCTGCATAGTGTAGCCTCTGGAAGGATTTCTTAATTTGTCCACATTCAGTTAGGTCATGGACCTCATGTTGGAATTAAGTGCAACGGGAACCTGGCTTTAACACTAGTATTTCGCTTTTATAGGTCATTAATCTATATCTTGAATTACTTAAAGATCGCGAAAACAGGGAGCCAGAGAAGTTTCTAAAATGCCACTTCTTCAACACCTTCTTCTATAAAAAGGTATTTTCTCGGTTCTACGTATAGTGTTCCCATACATTACTTTTCCCTGCAAATTCCATTTCCTTAACTACTTTTTTCCTTCTGAATTATGATGCTTAGTTAGTGAATCCGGAGAGTGGATATAACTATAAAGCTGTCAAAAGGTGGACTTCGCAAAGGAAGTTAGGGTACTGCTTATTGGACTGTGACAAAGTAAGTATTGGTATTTTCACCGCTTCCTTCTTCTTTTTCATGATTCATTGCATTTATCCTTAAATTAATTATTCATTTTGCTCAGATATTTGTCCCCATACACAAAGACATACACTGGTGCTTGGCAGTTATCAATAAGAAAGTTCAGAAATTGCAGTATCTTGATTCACTAAAAGGAAAAGATCCTAACGTGCTGAGAGCACTGGTACGATCTTCCAGGGTTTCTCTTTAGATGTCATATTATTCGGATGCATTTAAGTAATTGATCCAAAGTGTATTATATAGTTCAAGTGTTTAGAGGATTCAGAGTCTACACTCCCATTAGCTGCTAGACGCATTTTCCCTCTACTTCTTTATGCTGTAACTCTTTCTTAATCCTATTCACAATAATAGTTTTTTTGGCTTAAAGCCCACGCTTCCTACTCTTACCTCCTATAACTTCTTTCGAACTTGCTTAATATTTTGTTGTAATGTGCCAGGCAAAATACTTTGTTGAAGAAGTGAAGGACAAAAGTGGAAAGAACATTGATATAAGTTCTTGGGAACTAGAATATGTTGAAGACCTTCCTGCACAGGAGAATGGGTGTGTATTCTAAGATCTATTGCTGTCGTATTAGTGCTTGGAATACTTATTGTTCATAAGCTTATTGGATAAACAAATAACTTAAACCGTTAAGTATTTGATTATGTGGTAACTTTATAGTTATGAAACTCTTTTTATACTAACCATGGATGGCAATTGGTTCTGAATATTTGGCTAACTATATTTTTTACCTTTTACTGCTAGTTTAATGGTGTCATATGCCTTTTTCTGTCGGAATTTGATTTGTTTCCCCTAACTAACTTTCTTTATGACAGGTTTGATTGTGGCATGTTTATGTTAAAATATATCGACTTCTATAGCAGAGGTTTAAGTCTTTGTTTTGATCAGGTAAGGCAGTAAATATTGATGCTCTTAGATGGACATACATCCATTTGAAAAACAAGGTCTTGTTATTTGCTTTTGAACTTTTCACGTGCTATTGTAGGAACACATGCCATATTTTCGTTTGAGGACTGCCAAAGAAATTCTGAACTTGAGAGCTGATTGATCGAAAGTGTGAACATACACTGTACAAGGGTATGCCTGCTTTTCTAAACTACTTTGGAAAGCATTTACTAGGAACTTCAAAGGTGTACAAAAAGTTTGCTTCGGATCCGATTTTTCTATATAATTACTAAGACAACGTATGGATGTTCTCGTACAAAAGACGAAAGCAGAAAAATATAGATTAAAGACATGAGATTGTAGGGCTGCAGAACTTTCCCCAAAAAAGGGCTATTGTGACTGGATGTTATAGGTATTTTTTGTTTATAATGTCTCTTCTTTCTTCTAACTCTTCATTTGTCTTTTGTACATCATTTCTGCCTTGTTTTTGCTGTGGCTTTTAATATTTCCCAATCATCCCCCTCTTTTTTTCTGTTAAGAGCTATTTCCATCCTTTTTTTTTTTTGTTGATAAATTTCAGTTTCTGATTTGGATCACCTCAAAATTTAGACCATTGAGTCATTAGGATTATCTCGATTTTGAACCATTATTGGGATGGTTCAAATTAGGACTATCGAGACAGACGGCATGTCAATGACATGCCGACATGAAAACATCATTAATGGGATGGCATTCAAATTCTGGTTGCCAATTATGTCAACAGTAATCATGCATGCGAAGAGCAACATTAGGTCTAGGTCCGATTATCGGTATCTCCTGCTTGTTTAGTTGATACTGACTGAACTTTCCTCTCAGAAGTCCCACTGGGGTGAAAGAATCTTATGTATGATGAGGTCCAGGTCGAATTCTGGAATGAAAAGAGACTAAATCACTGACTTAACAAGGAACTCTCTTCCGACTTGGTATCTCCTGCTCTTTTAGTTGACGTTGGAACCTGGCAAGGCGAACTTGAAGGCTCACCAGGTCGGCAGCTTTGTGTGAAGCACAAAACTCAACTGGCTCACGTAATTAGGGATGTAAAAAGTTGAGCCGGACTGTAAAACTGACTGAAACCGACTCGAGTAAAAATTGCTTGTGATCTGGGTATGATGATACGAAATCGACTCAAGTCGAAATTGGTGTTGACCTGAACTCAAGTTGGACTTGGAAATTATGGATCTAAATTCGACCTGCACTCGATCTGAGAAAGACCTAAATTGAATTGAAAATATGATAATTGAACCCAACCTGCATCCGAATGATATGAATTCGAACTTGAGATTAATATGGTAAATAATTGATACTACTCGACTTATTTTCAATCTAACTTGTTATAAACTTGATTTGTAATTGACTCAATCTGTAAATGATCCAATTTGTTATTGAATTGATATGATATTTACCTGACTTATAAATTATCATTGATGAAATTATAAGATTTCAATGAAGTGTTGAGATTTTGAGTTTATAATAAATCATGTTAATTAATATGATTAATTTTTAAATGCTATAATAAATTATTAATTATGATAATTAAAATTAATAAATTTACTTATTATGTTGATTATGATTATTGTATTATAAATCTTAATTATAATCATTAAATTAATTTTATTAAGTAATTTATTTATTGGACATGATTAATTAAATTAATTATAATCATTACAAGTTAAAATAATTTATTGGCATTGAATATGAATAATTAAATTAGCTATAATCATTAAAAGTTAAAACAATTTATTTATTGAACATGATTAATTAACTAATTAATTTAAATATTTATTAGTTTAATTTATGTTTTATGTAATAATTAATTAATAATGTAAAGATAATTTATCTTAAAATTTGAACATATATATAAAAGATGAATTTCTTGATATTGAAAATTTGAATAACATGAGATTGAAATTTGAACAACATGAGATTGAAATTTGAACAACATAAAATTTATAATAGTTCAATACAATAAAATTACAATAAAATAAACAAAAATAAATGTGTTAAAATTTAAACTCTCAGATCTTATAACAAAAGTTTTATAAGGCTAAAAGTCTTACTTTGCTACCAGAAATTTCATCATCTAGCTTTTATCTCAAAAGATCTAAATGTTGCCAATATTATTAAGTTACAAACAACTTTTTAGCTTTAAAAACCGAAATGACACCAACATAATTTAACATGAGCAACCATTTGGAAAAAAATTACAAGTTACAACAATTTATTCCAATCTGTCCAACAATAATTTACAAGGCAACAACAAGCAACAATAAACAACATTGCATCAATTCAACATTTAATATTTCTGCATTCAACAAGCATCCAGTCAGTGGTAAAGCCAAAGTGAATATGATGGCCAACAGTAACAAATATTTCTGACTTTTTCAAACTCTTACAAAATCAAGCATTCAACAAACATTTCTAAATCAAGCAATATCAAGCAGAATCAGGACATAATCATTCAAGAAGCATTTAGTTTGATGCTTATAGTAACTTGTAAGACATCCTAAAAAATAGAAGCATTATTCAACACTTTGAAAAATTCATTTAATAAACATAATAAATATAAAAAAATAAGTTACCTGGGAAGAAACAATACATAATCATTCACAAACGAAATCCAATTTTTGACTTATTGTAAAACACCCTACAAAATTAAAAATAAAATCATTAATAAGCAATTCAAAATATTAATGAAATTAAAATTAAAAGTAAAATAAAAATATATATTTACCTTTACATAGCAGAATCATTAACTACAGTAAGATAATCTTCATCCCTTTCCTCCGGCTCAAAACCATACAACCAATTACGGGTTGTTACAAAAATCTCAATATTTTTAGGTAAGAGTTTAACTCTCAACTTGTTCAAAATTCGTCCCCCACACTAAAGGACGATTTAGATGCAACTGAAGTAATTTGAATAACCAATATATCTCTCGCCCTGCGAGAAAGTACCAGATAAGAAATACTTTGATTTGTCCAATACTCTAAAATATCAAAGTTAGATTCTCTACTACGAGGGACAAGGGGCAAACTAATGTAAGAGTCAACATTTGATCGTTCACCTCTTGAAGCAGCTAAATTGACATCAAAATTCTGGAAAAAAATAATAATAAAAAAAATTAAATTATGAAAACATAATAAAATAAATTAAAATAAATAAAATTGAATATGAAATTCTAAAAACTAACCTAAAATAGATCTAATTTTTTAAATGATCGAGGTTGATTGGAATTTGACCCACTTCTGTCTAAAGATGTGTTACTTTGGACAGAAGAAAAAGAACCACAAGGTACATTTTTTTAATAAAATACATATAACTCAAGAAACTCATTAGAAATGAGACTTACCCTCCGTTGAACCTTGTACTCGACATAAAGAACATTGTACAACTCCTTCAGAAGTTGTAATTTATATCGAGGATTGAGTAAAACAATGAAAGACGAAATCATAGAGTAATCAAACCAATATTTCTTATATAGTTCAAGCATGGGTTCTGCCATTGCTGAAATACCTTCACAAGGATCATTATGAGCATTATACAACAATTTTTAAATTGCAACAACATTAGCCAAGTACAAGTTAGAAGTGAGATACTTAGATTCAGAGAACAGAGTAGTAATTTCATAAAACGGCTCAAGAAAATCACATATTGTTTGAACAGTTTCCCACTCATGGTCAGTAATGATTTCTAACTCATTTTCCCTATTCACAAACAAGTTTATGGCTAATATAGCCTCATTTTCCATCGAGTAGGAACATCCAATAATAACTTATCACGAAAAGAAGAATCACAGTCTTTAACAGCTAATTCAAAGGCACAAAGGCGAGAGTCAGAAGAATCAATAAACTTAACAATTTCACGCAATTCAATAATAGAAGAATCAATTACCTTCAAACCTTTTTGAACTATCAAATTCAAAATGTGGGCAACACACCTTATATTGAAGTACTTACAATTGCAGGAAAGAGGAGAAATGACATTTAAATCATCTTTAAGTCTCTTAACCATTTTATCATTTGTAGAAGCATTATCAAGTGTTATGGTAATTTTTTTTTCAAGACTCCACTCACATATCATTTTTTTCACAAACTTAAAAATTGACTCGCCATCATGGGCTGAAGGAAAACATCGAAAATTCAGTATTTTAGATTGAAGTTTCCAGTTATTATAAACATAATGTGCATTAAGAGCAAAATAAGAACGTGAAGTGCATGCAGACCATCTATCATATGTAAAATAGATACGACTTGAAATAGAATGCACTAAATCAAGTAGCAATTTTTATGTTTTTCATGCTCCAGCATGCAATATTTAGTAACAACATACCTCGATATATTCTTCACACTAGAATTAAGGTGATGATGCAAATCCCTAAGTTTTTCATGCTCAACCATGCTCAAAGTATAACCATGACACATAATAGCCTCAGTAAACAATTCACAATATTTGTTTTGATCAAAAGAACTTACCAAAGCAATATTTTCAGCAAGATATTCCTAATAAGATTGACATTTCTAAGTATGCCTTCTAGGGTTAAATGTACCAATATAAGAATCAGCTTTATACCTTTTAATTTTGTAATACTTACGCTCGACATAAACAGAATCATCGGCAAATTTGATGAAGGTGTACTGCTCCCAAACAGGAGAAGTTCTTCTCCCGAACTCGGCTGAATATGTTGTCTTCCTCTTAGAGGATTTATTGACATCAACTACTTCAGACAGTTGATCGTTTAAATCCCCTTAAAAAATAAAAAAGTGTTAATAAATAGAAAAATCATAAAGTGAAAAAACATAAAGACATATTTTACCTCTTTCAGAATGCTGCTGTTCATTTTGATTTGCTTGTAAGTCTCCTACAAAATACAAAAATATTATTAGTCTTCTAATAAAAATTTAAAACAAACAAAAAAATATGTATTTTACCTGGAAAGTTCAACTCGTAAGATAACTATCCATCGAACTCTAAAAAAAGAAAAGTAAAAGAGAAAGAGTCTCAGTTAGAGAAGGGGAAAGGGGGATGAACAGTGGGATGAACGATGTTTGGGATTTAGGATTATGGGAAACAAAAGAAGGGGAAGGGGAAGGGGAAGAGTCTCAGTTGAAGAAGGGGAAAGGGGAATAAATAATAGGATTTAGGATTTAGGGGTAAGGAAGAAGATGAACAATGCTTTGATTTGGGGGGTTTTGATCTTTAAAAATAGGTTGGGGAAAAGTGTTTGTAAGGATCAAACAGAAGGGGAAGAGGAAGAGCCTTGGTTGAAGAAGGAGAAAGTAGGATAAATAGTGGGATTTGAGATTTAGGGTTAGGGAAGAAGATAAACAATGCTTCGATTTGGAGGGGGTTTGATATTTAAAAACATGTTGGGAGAAG